GCAGAGTGAGGGTAGGGGAATGGAAGGGTCAGCTCTGAGTTTCAAGGTAATGGCGAGATAGATGCCAAGGAGGATAGGTGTGAGCTACAACAGGAACCTACGTCAGTGGAACCGTTCGGGGTGGGACACAAGGGGAAAAAGATGGGGTATTGTGTGGAAGTGTTGCGTGCAAATTTTAAGAGTTTTGCAGGAATGTAAGATTCTGAGACATGTGTGAGCGCTTAAGTTCATAAGTCCATGGTTAGATTGTTGGAGTGGTACCGCCCGGTTGTCCAGGCCGAAGTAGAGTGCTTTCTAGGATGACCCTACCCAAAGCCTTTGGTTAAAGAACCTGACCCACAAAGCAGTGGGGTGGAGTAGGGAGTCCATGATCCTCTGGGAGCCGGTGACTTCGGGGCCAGTTCCTACGCCTTTCGGATGTGGCCAACTATCCAAAATACCCAGATTGCCCTTGAGCCGCGCACTTGCCGGTGAGCGTCACGTTTGTCAACTCCGAAGGTTAATCTTGGAGACCGGTTCGGTTGCGCCAAGGATTGGTATCACTATGATCTTACGCCAGGTGTGGGTGGTTTGGAATCAGGGTTTAGCCAACTCCCTTAGACTGACTACCAGTGATCACTCGACCCGGTGGAAAGAGTCGGCATTCGCCTTTGTCCTCCCACTTTAGTTAACACCACATAACCATCAGCAGCGATCTGAAGGTTAGAAATACAAGGTGATACAATCAACAACAGTTCTTTATCTATTGGAATTATCTCTCAGTGATTTTGCTAACGAGCGCGGCTCCCACAAATGATAAATACAGCCTATAGAGGAAACTTGCTGAGCGTAACAACCGTACTTTTGAGCTGAAATGACTACTTCTAAGCATTGAATAATTTGCGAAATGCGGTTGTCCGAACTCGTTTTCGTTTTCTTCATTTTACCATGATGGATAAGTGCATTTTGCAAATAACTACTCTTATTTTTATCTGTAGTCAGCCTACATAAACTTCATTGTTGGTACGCACATTTATTTATTTAATTTTTATTTGTGGACTATTTCTCACCGGTGTGGTACACTTCTCGCAAGTGAAGACTACGGTGAAAATGTTAGGTACTGTAAGCGAGATAATCGAAGGAGACATTCACATCAAGCTGATCCCTCAGAATTTTACAAAGCGTTATCCAAACGTAAGCGGGAACATCTGCTATGCACTTACACCTCGGAACGGGAAAATAATCGTATGTGAGTACTGGATGTTTTGATTCAATTTCATAGAAGGAATTCTTGTGTAGGGTGAAGGAATCGTGAACTGAAAAGCCCTATACACGACGATTTCCTCACATAAATTGAAACGAATCTTCTATTAATCACATGCAGCAGTAATCAGGTTGTGAATGTTTCCAGATAAGTCATAATCCCGGAGTCTAGTGCTGAGATGAACGAGGTGCGAGGACTGTAACAAGATCACAAAGATGGGTAGTATTATATCGTATACATGTAAAATGAAAATCGTTCTGATCAGCTGCCTGGTGGACGAGTGGGTAGCATTCTTGCATTCAGCCTGTCACATCCCCGGTGGTATCTTAATAATCTTCCCTATCACTTATTGAGGGAATTAACTCATGACCCCAGAGATGAGTCGACCATTGGGTTGGAAATAATCACCCTTTTCACTGGTGCAACTACGTTTAGATATCAGATTTAATGGAAGTGATCGACTGCTTTTAAAAGGATGGTTATAGGGAAGCTATATCATAGAATAAAAAGACTACATTGAGCTCTTCTCTTTTTACCCTGATAAAGTGGAAAATCTGGAGAAGTAATAGAGCAGCTGGATAAGTTTTGTTATTTGGGCAGCTACATCTCACCCGGTGGAGGCATCACGGATGAAGTGTCTTCTCGGGTACAGAACGCTGGGTTGGCATTTGCTAACTTGAGACATCTGTGGCGCCGTCGCGACATCCGGCTGTCTGTGAAGGGTCGAGTGTATGCCGCAACAGTTCGGCCAGGCCTGCTATACGGTGCAGAAACTTGACCATTAGGAAACAGGATAAAGATAGACTGTCGGTGTTTGAACACCGCTGTCTACGCAGCACTGCACGAATCTGGTGGGGCAACCGGACGATCAATGCTGAGGTTAGGCGCAAAGGTTTAGGCAACCACGGACGCGCACTCGAGCAAGTGGTCGATCTCCATAGATTACGTTGGTTGGGACATGCGGTAGGCATGTCACCAGATAGGTTACCACGGCAAACGATGTTCGCCGATCCAGGTATTGAGTGGAACAAAGCCAAGGGTGGTCAAGCTAAGACCTGGCATGAGGGTATGAAAACCTCAAGCAAGTGTCTGGGTCACATAGGTCCTGTTCGGCTCCCTGGATGGGGACCTCGGGATGATCGTAACCGATGGTTAGCTACACT